GCGAAGTGTATTTCTTTCAGAGTTTCAGTTTTGTATGCAATGTTTCTTGTGTTAGGTTTCATCCCTCTGTGTTGGCCAATTTCTGCCAGTTGGTCCACTAGTTCATTTTGTGTATTTCCTGTATGTGCCTGGACTTTGAACAATTCTAGCTTTATACTTCTTTGCTTGCAGATTTCTTTGATTAACTGTAGTATGTTTGAGTTTTTTTGTTTTTTATATGTTGTGTAGTGGTGAGCTTGTTAGTTTTTTGGATGCAGTTGATGGCTGCCATGCTGTCTGTATATATTTGTGCTCTGCTATAGTGGGAAGAGTACTAATGGCTATAAGAATGGCCATTAGTTCTGCTCTGGTCGAGGAGGGAAAGTTTTGGACTTGGCCTTGGAAATTGAAGCGTCTATTGTCTCTGGTTGTTAAGGTCCATCCTATTCCCATTTGGTGTTGTTTATTCTACCAGTTCATAGAGCAATCAGTGTATATGTCGAAGTGCATGTCGTTTTGGAGCTCTTGACTGATATTGTGAAGTTCTTTAGTTCCAAAGTCGAGATATTGCAAAGTGATAAAAAAATCAGTATTATTATCAAATATATAAACACTTACCAAAAATTAAGGCTCTGGCTAGCTTTTCTAAATGTCAAATTCCCAATAAATTACATCAATGTAATCTGTTGCCCCATGTTTATAATGATCAGGAAAGAGGGAAAATATATTTACATATCTTGGTACTGATAGATGTGACAACGAGATTTAAATGTGCAGTAGCATTAATGTCAAAGAATAGTTTGGAAGCTTGGAATGTGATTGAAAAAATATACAATGATCTCAAAAATCCTTTTACGTGGCCAGTATTGTTAATGGTAGATAGTGCTGGTGAGTTTAAAGGGCATTTGCATGAGGAATAGAGTGATACAATATTCCTATAAGAGTTATAGACCTTTATAGTTTTGAAAGCTTAGTATTAATAAAAAAAATTCAAACATAATTTGTCAGTACTTACTGTATATATAAAATTCAATATGCCATTGAGGGTAAACTTAAAGAAAGTGAATGTTCAAAATTATGGAATAAAATACTTCAGAAAATTATTAATTATATGAATAATAATAAAACGTGATTAATTGGTATGAGCCTGGCCCATACTATGACATTGAAAGAAGTAATACCTAAAGAATCTATCAAATATAAAAGTTCTATTAGAAAGGATAAACTGCAACTACAGAAAAGAACAGTTGTAAGATATTTATTAAAATCAGGTGAGTTAGAAGGAGGACATATGTATAGAAAAACTGATCCATACTTCTCATTATGTATATATAAGATCAGGAAAGTCATTGTTGGCAAAATCCATCTCAACTTGTTTTAAATTATCTTGAAAACAGACCAATCGAATCTATAACTCATTTGATGTGTCGTAATCCACATCAACCATTTAAAAGAGAAGAGCTCCAAGTAATTGAGAATCCTGAAGAAGTTGAGTATCTATCTGATGAATTTATATGAAAATATCATCTCTCTGGATTGATACATTTCGTTCGTATTTCTAGTAGTGAATTTGGCAGGGTTCAACAATATGCCAAGAAATGTAATGGAAGTATTTTAGCTAAAACTGGTCGATTCAATAATCAGAATGTATATCTTTAGTCATATAAAAATGGACTTCATCAGTGGGAATATCCTTATCCATTGATTCAGAAGAAATTTGAGTAGTGTCCAGTTTGTTTTCACCATAGAAATGAAAGACACTGAGATATATTTTTGAAGATCTGTTAGGTAAAAAATTTCCATCTTGTAAACCATTATTTTTGAATGGGATGCAATTAGTTGGGTATAATGAAGAATCAAAATTGGCATGAGAATTTAATGGGGTTCAACATTATTCTCAGAATTCAATATTTCATAAACGAGGAGAAATAGATTTATATTTACAAAGGAGGTGTAATCAAAAAAAGCAGAATATATGCAAAAAGCGAGGTATAGATCTCATTTGTATCCCATTTGATTGTGATTTATTTCCCTATATAAAAAGCAAATCACAAGAAAGAGGTTATTTACTGTATAAAGAATAAATCTTGCTTATATTGGTTAGAATGAAAGATAAAGGCATGCCCATATACTGTATGTATATAATATCAATTAGACATCTAAAAAATCATCAGAACTAATGAAGGGTAATAGGTATTCACCAGACTGCCCATTTAGGATACTCATAAATGGAAGCTCAAATGGTGAAAAAACTAACATGGAAATAAATCTCATGCTCAGTGACAAACTACAATATTGTATATGTTCAATGAAAAAAACCATTAAAAATGATGATCTGGTATTAGTAGCGAAACATTCTGAACCGAAATGGGAGTTAGTAAAAAATGTATATCAGATCTTTGCAAATGCCTTGAAACCATATCGAGAGGATGTAGTATTCAAAAATATAGCACCAGACAAGATCCCCAATATAACTAAATTCTCTCCAGATTGAAGTATAGTTGTTGTTTTTAAAGATCTATATGCAGAACCAAAGAAAGTGCAAGAATGAATTATTCCTTACTTCATTAGTGGCAGACATCAAAATATTTTACCAATATATGTAAGCCAGAAATAGACACAAACCTCAAAAATTATTCATAAAAATGTCTCACATCTTTGCTTATTCCGAGGGAGTGGAAGTAGGGGTGATATATGTAGAATTGTATGTCAGTACACAGATGATCCAAAACAAGCATCCAAGATTATTAAAAAGCATTTGTGGAATTATGAATTTGTGGTTTTTGATTTCATTAAGGTGGTATAAGATCCTTTAGCAGTTAGACTGGGTTGGAATACCCTATTAAAATTAGATGAATAAAATGAGGTATATCTATTGGGTAACAGGTATTTATTTTTTCTCATCATTTGTTAATGCATTAATATAAATACATCCTACTCGCCACTTCTATTAAGAAGCTGTCTGTATCCAGCCGTGATTGAAATTGGGGTGGATGTGTAATAACAACAAGTGCGATCTATTATCAACACTAATGATTTTTGTGTCAGATTAAAAATATATAAAAATCAAAGTAAAAAATGTTACTAACTTTCCTAAAGAAAAGATAATGAAATAAAGTCTAAAGTACTAGCTCTCAGAAATACTTTAGGTGGTTTTATTTTAAATAACTATATATATGAATAAGTTATATAATTAATAAATCAAATAAAGAGATATGTGTATTGCTTTACAGAAATGGTCTATACACTGTTAACTTGTCACATTTCTTCTCGAACTGCCCATAATAATTGATAATGTAATGCTAATTCTGAAGCACAGAGACCATCGGGTTTATACATATATTTAAGCCATTTCTGCGATATAATATTTATAGCTCTAATTTTTCTACCAATTTCTCTTGCACGTTTAACTCTTTTGATGGCATTCTGCATCCATAATTCATAATTATGTAATGCATATTCGTTATCATAATTATATTCTGAATTAGGTTTTTGCTTAATTTGCATATAATCTTTCACAAAAGGTATTTCCTGTACAATGGGAAGCCCATTCCTATGTGATTATAATTACCTATATTTTTGGTTCGTTCTCCTGTATATATTAATTGATTACAAGAGAAACAGATGGCAATACCAATTTCAGGTGCATAACTCATATAAAATCCATTATCATTCCAATATCTTTTAACTTTTTAGCTTCAAGATATTTTTTGCTTTTATAAGGTAAGAGATCATTTTCTCTAAAATATGTAAGACGTTCCCAAATCCGTTTCATCCACTTACCAGGAGTTTCATTATCATGAATTTGTGGCAACTTTACATATTCATCCCATTCTTCATCAGTACAATTGGTTCCACGTAATTCATTTAAGCTAACCATTTTATGACTTATTTATTAATGATATGAATTATGCAATTATATCGGATTTAACCAATTTGATTCAATAACTATATACTCTAGAATAATATGATTCAATTTTCGTGCATATTTGATTCTTGAAGCATCTCTATAAGAGTGTCATATTCGTCATAATTTATAAATGATATTTGTAATGAAAATCGGAGAGATTCATAAATAGGTATTAAGGCATAATTATATGAAATAGATATAACAAATCATTTCAAATACAAATGATAATATATATATAATCATTATACTTATGGAGTAATTGATATATTTATAAACGAAATTTTTATTTATCTTATAATATCATTGATATATTTACATAGGAAAATAGATACATTTCTGCTATATAAACTATATACTATATAACAATGCGATTCAATTTTAGTACAGATCGAGGATAATCGTATTGGTATTGTCGTATAAATGCGCCTAATTTTTCAATGTATTTTTATTTCATGTTTCGTTAATAATTGAGTGTTAATACGCATGCATATTGTCATAGTGCCCCAAGGGAGCAATCCATGTGATCACATGAAAAATTATTTGCCGAAGGCAGTCACACAGTGGCTATGCATTGTTTAGTTAAAAAATCGTATAAATTGAGTGTGAATTTCTTCCCATTCTTTCATTAGATTACCGAGCCATGTAGTACTTAAACTGCTTTCTAATATACTTAATCTACCGTGATATATATGCGTTCGCCGATGATTAATAACTTTGTTTTTCGGTACTTAATGCCGGCTCATGCGCCGATGACATAATCACAGTTTAAAAATTAAAAATAAAAGACCCAATGGGCTAGTTTATTAAAGTATACGATGCTAAAAAATTGACATAGATTGTGACAAGTAATCACAACATCACATGACTATGTGGCGCAGTAATTCACTTCGTTGTCTTCATTTAACAATTACAAAATCCATATGATCAGGTAGAAATCCGAAATGGAATTTCACATCTCAATCGGAGTAATCCAAAATGAAAATTTTGATATTGAATAACCCGGAATAGTATTACATCTGAAAATTTGTATGGTGAAAAAATATCCATTTAGATTTCACGAATTACCTATATACTCAATGATGGCAGAGCGCCGAGCCTTTGACTCTCCGATTTACGCTTTCACATTTACTATCGGGATTCCACCAAAAGTTCTATTACGACAATAGAGACGATAAGTTTTTTCGCCACAGTAATTGCCATCACCCCACCGACCTTCCACATCATATCCTTTATGCTCTTCATTACATGTTGGGCATGTTCCTGAATAATCATAATAATCGCTGTACTTATTGCTACGTTTTAAAGATAAATTATTGAATTGCTCCAATGTGGTATGAATAACAAGATTTCGTTTTTCTTCTGGATCATTAGGTAATATAGAAATTGGAAGTCGGGATTCATTGGATGAATTTTTATTTATAGGTATTATATTTACCTTTGTTTCTGATGAAACCTTTTCGAATAGTGCACTTACCTCAGTTGAAATCATTTCTGGTAATTTTTTTGAATCCGTAGAAATTGCAGTTGGTTCACTTACCTCAATTATATTGTCTTCAGAAGATACTTCAGGTGTGATTTCAAGCGAAGGAGAATTAGAGATTCGGCTCTCTAAACCATGATTAATAATCTCTTGAATTTGGTCGTTAGTAAGTTCTGAGATAGAATTTGCACTATAGTTCTTAATATGTTTAATTTTATCTAGACCTATCTTTTCGAATAACTTACAAGTTTTTACAGCTCTTTGAGTTTTTTTACGCAAGGTATCTCGTGATATATTTGGAAGTTGTAAGCTCAAATATTGTGATCGTTTTTTACGAAGAATTGAGAGTTGATTTTCAATTTCATTATAAATTAAGGTTGTTGCTTTTTTCTCGCTAATTTTATTTTTGTTACTCATCTCACCAACTTGAAATTCAAAATCCCTACCGTAAAGAGACCAGCACATGATTCCTTCCTGATTAGCCTTCGAAGCTTGATCTTCTGCGCCTATGGCTGTATCGCACAACTGAGCTAAATGTTGTGATACCTCATTAATGTCAAATGAATTAACAATGCATTTTGCAGAACCATCCATGCCCTCGAATTTTTCGGGACGGGCCGTCTCGGAAATTTCTATCTGTCCTGGTTTAATATTTTTTTGATATAGAGTGATCTTGTGAACTCGGCTCTAAAGAAGTATTGAACAATTCTTGCCGGAGTTTATCTGTTCC